ATTTTCATGCATTGCTGAACTGCACTGAACCCCTGTTTGACTATTATAATGTCTGCACTGTATCCTGTGACAGACAGCTGCCTGAATCTAAAATAAAAACATGTTATCTGTAATCCACCATCACCTCTGTGTTTATTGCCAAAGACAGTGACTTTCACCTGGAAGCAACAGGACTCAAGTTTAATCAAAAATGTTTCCACTCTTTGTTTGACTCACAAATAAAGGTCATTAAGACAAATGTAGACAGATTAGCTGGTAACTGACAAGTATCATGATGTGTGTCGTCTCACAGTGATGACACACCTTCTTACATAGAGCACCGTCATGTGACGGGATGGATGATGTGATATCAGCTGTTTTGTTGAATGCCTCACAGTAACTGTGATCTCTCTGTTCAGCAGATCAAAATGATCTCAGCTCTCATCTTCACTGTGTCTCTGTTCTGTGCTTTAGGTATCAGACCTCTGCTAACTTTTGTGCATCTCAACACATTTCTGCATGTCTCCTGCTGCTGTCTCTAAACACATTGTTTTATGGTTTTGGTTCCAGGTAGAACTGGGAGTAGGCAGGTCAACCAGACCTCAAGCTTACTGGTACAGTGGGGTCAGTCTGCTCAGATGAACTGCAGTCGAGAATCTGGTAGCGGGTACCTTGAGATGTACTGGTATTAACAGTTGCCAGGGGAGAGTATGAAACTGATCGCCTACACGGTGCCTTACAGCAAGCCAGACTTTGGAGATTTTAGCCCCGACAAATTCTCATCCACAAAACCTGAACCAGAGAGCGGATCTTTCACTGTGAAAAACATGGAACCAGGTGACAACGGAGTGTATTTCTGTGCCATCACACACTGTGATGCAGAAAGCTGTCAAGTTGTACAAAAACCAGAGACACATGACTGAGAGTGACAATCTTTCTGACATGATCAAACCACAATGAGCTGCTTGAGAAAAGTCCTCACAATTCAGAAGTGGGTTCCAGTAAATTCTATGTTGATCAACTTATAATACCAAAAACCACAAGAAAGTTGCCTTAAATGGATCAAACTCTCTGTCTCCTCCCCTATTAGCTGATCCCATTACGTCTGTTCAGTCTGTCAGTGAAGGCAGAGACAGAGGGAGAGAAAGACATCATGATCAGAAGCATCAGCAGGACCACTCTGCTGCTCCTCTGGCTCTCCTGTAGGTTTCAATCCAAACTGTTGGCTTAAAGTTACAGTTTTTGTAACCATTTCTGATCTTTAATGTTTTCTCTTTAATTGCAGGTCGTTCACTGAGTATTGAAGTCCATCAGAGTCCATCATCAATATTAGAAAGTCCTGATGTTTCAGCAACAATCAGCTGCAACCATTCAGTCAGTACATAAGATGTAATGTTGTGGTACCAGCAGCCGAAGAGCAGCTCTGACCTTAAGCTCATTGGATTTATTCAATATACTAATCCAACCCTGGAGGATCAATTCAACCAGAACTTCAAAGTGACTGGAGATGGCTCAGTGAAATCTCAACTTCAAGCACTGAAACTCAGACAGCCAGAAGACAGCGGCGTGTATTACTGTGCAGCTAGTAGACACAGTGACTCAGTTTCACTCTTCCTCCTACAAAAACCCTCTCTGATAATCAGCCACATAAATTCACCCTGAAGAGGAACACAGCTGCATCTGTACAAATCCATTGATGAGGACGTGTGACGTTTCATAATGTTGACCCCTCCTCCTCCTTTACATTGAGGCAGCTCTAGTCAGTCATCATCATTGTTTTCATCTGCAGATCATGATCATGATTGGACTCCTCTTACATTTAGCGGCGCTCCCCTTCTGTTTAACAGGTAATGTTACATTTAAAAAACTGGACCTAAGTAATTTCAGTGGAGTTAATTTTCATCATTAAAGCTGTTTGTTCTAAATGTCTCTTGCAGAGCTCTCAAAGAACACTGTTTATCAGACTCCCACTGCTCTGATCAAACATCCTGGAGAAGAAGCCCTGATGAACTGCAGCCACTCAAACACTGACTTTGATATGATCCAGTGGTATAAACAGTCTGCTGGGAAAAATGATATGGTCCTGGTTGGCTATGTACGATTCTCTTCTCCAGCTGTTGAAGCTCAATTCAAAGACACTTGTAATGTGAGTGGTATTGGGGGAAGTCTGGCACATCTTCATATTCCAAAGCTGAGTCGATCAGAGGACGGCGCAGTGTATTTCTGTGCTGCCAGTAGTGCACAGTGCTGCACAAAGCCTCTGTCTTTAACAAAAACCCTCTCTGATGCAGCCAGTTAGGCAATAACACAAATAACCACATGACCACCAACCACACTGTTAGTGACTGACAGACAGCTGGCTTACCATGAGGCACATAGATTCCTGTTTCATCCATTAGGGTGCAGTGTTTCTCCACACATCCTCTGATCGGTGATCATTTCTTTTTGGCGAACTGTATCTGAAAAACAAAACAACAAAGTAAAATTTAACTTTTTTTGTCCGCACAAGTTGTACTCTGTACACTCTATAATTTTATATGGGGCTTTTACACACAAGGACTTCCAGTTTCATGCATCTCCCTTGAAATGCACTGGAGTTTGTGTACAGTAGCCTATGCGAGCAGCAGCTGACGTCCTAATATCAGTTTAAATCTTATTACAAAACTGAACATTTTCATTAGTTAGAATGGGTTGATGGTAAAACAGTATTATTCATGACATTACTCAGACTGTAAGGTCTGATCAGGCCCAATCAGGATCGACCAGAGAATCAAAGCTCTAGTTTATGCAAAAAAAAGAAAAGTGGATGTGATGAGCAGCTGAGTGCGCCTCTAAAGGGAGGGACTTACACACTTCCTTCACACCGCCAAAAAAATGTGACCCATTCTTCTACTGGGATTATGTTTGGCAGATACATGGGTTAAGAAAATTTCACATATTGTGT